CCTGGGAAACGCAGCACGGTGACTGTGATTGCCTGGCCGCATCCTCTTCCCTTAGCTGCTCTGTAAGGAGGCCAGAAAAGAACTGTGCTTAGGGACACCTGGAGCATCAGCGGCCTTTCAAACGTGGGAAACGGTTTTCGGGTCTGAACCAATGGGGTCCTGGGCTAACTCTAAAATTGGGACCCGGAGAGGGAAGGACATTCTCATAATAAGCAGGATAGATATATGGAGTCATATTACTACTGAAAATAAGTGACCTTAACTTACTCTCTAAATTGGTGAGACAGGATATAGCACGTTTCACTTAACATTTTATTTATCATATCATTTTTCATTTGATAGTTAGGAGACATGAATGTAACTTTGTCTCTCTCATGTAATGATAAAGGAGCCCTGGTAGTGCAAGGGCTAAGCGTTTCCCTGCTATCTGAAAGGTCAGCGAGTCAAACCCACCAGCAGCTGCACCAGAGAAAATGTGTCAGTCTGGGTTTAGAAAGATGACAGTCCTAGAAACCCTATGGGGCAGTTCTTCTCCGTCCCAGAGGGCCACTGAGTCAGAATGGAGTTGGCAGCTGTGGGTGGGCTTAGTCGGAATGTGGTAATAACGCCCATAGCCCAGGGCCAGACAGTGTTTCATTGTGCTGTCAGTCAGAGCCCACTGGATGGCACCTAATCATAAGAATCAGATGTCAGATGCATCTGGGAAGATAGCAAAGAATACCAGAGACATGTGTACCTCTTTTATTGACTATACAAAGGCATGCCACGGTGTGGGTCATAACCAAGTCTGGACAACACTCTGAAGAATGGGAATTCCAGAATACTTGATGGTGGTTTGGCTGAACCTGTACATAGACCAAGAGGCAGTCATTTCATCCCCTTATGGAAGGGTCGTCGGGAGGAGACAAGCCAGTCAGAGTGCTGTGTAGCAACAATAACATACAACTTTCCTCTAGTCCCTAAATGCTTCCTCCCCCTCACTATCATGATCCAAATTCTACCTTCCAAATCTGGCTAGACCAGAGGATGTACACTGGTACAGATAAGAACTGGAAACAGAGGGAATCCAGGACAGAT